GAATTATTAACACCGGAAGCAAGAAAAGTAAAACTGTGTGCGAACAGCTTACTAACTTTGATTGATAGAGCCAGAGCGTTGACGGTGATACGTGCCCGGCCGCGCTTCGGGATTCATTAGGCAAGAAGGCGGGCAATCACGGAAAAGGAACTACGCAGAGGAGTTAAATCTTCTCCTCTGACATATGGAGTTCGAAGGGTTCCGTACGTGTCTCATCTGACGTAGAGGTTTATATGGATAATTAGCAATAAACCTTAACGTACTACTGATGTAGTAGATTCTGTACACTGTTTGCTGTCATATAATTGCTTCAAGCGTCTGAGTCTGTCTCTCTCTGTTTTGTCTGGTCTCCTCCCTCTCTCTGTCTGTCCGAATCATGTCTGTTTCTCTCTCATGTCTCTCTCTCCTGTCTGGTTGTTCTGTCTGTCCTCTTCTCTCTCTCCCTGTCTGGCTCTCCTCTCTCTCCTCTTCTCTCTCTCTCTCTCCTCTGGCTCTCTCTCTCTCATCCTCCTCTCTCTCCTCTCTCTCTACTCTCTCTTCCCTCTCTTCCACCAAAATTATTTTTATCAATGCAAATGCCACAAATCTCATCGAAAAACATATGAAAAAGTCAAAATATAAAATGCGAATGTGCAATTAAAGCAATTCTCGAGATAATCTTAAAAAAACTCAAAATAAAATGCTAGTGAAAACAAACGAAAAAAAAGTATAAATCCAAATTACAAACTGTAAAACCAAGAAGGAAAACAAATTGACGTTCGCACAAGAAAGAAAAAAGGATAATAATCTCGTATAAATACGCTTAATAGAATTAAAAGAATGGAATAAATGAGTGTGTTAATCCAACTTTCTATCTTCTCCAGTTGAACTTCGGAGATAGAGATATTTTAAAAACCGGGCCTTTTGTGTGCATCCAAAATGGAGGAGAAGCGGATGCTGGAATAAACCGGAAAGGAAAGGAGAAGAAAGATATACGGAGATAGGGACAGAGATAAGAAAGGAAAGGGCGAGAGGAATTAAGGTTGGGCAAAAGAAAAGACAGAGGTTATAGAGAAGGGGGGGGGAGCGAGAGAGGGGAAGAGAGATTGAGGAATGGATTACGGAAAGGGTATATGTCAAAGAGGTTACAGGATACAGATGAGCAGGAAAGTCAGAAAGACACACCACACACACAGCCACGGAATGTGGCCGCTAGACCTCCTAACGGAACGACGAAGGGACAAAAGGAGAACGAGACAAGCGCGCGCACCCTAAGAAGTTAGACATAAGAGAGCTGCACACTATTACCACAACTAATTGTGTCACAGCGCTCCAACCTACAGACTGAATGAGACAATATAATCTCCACCCACTTTCCGTTTTCCCCACACCCACCCGCCACACTACGAACCACACATACAACACACATGCCCCCAACCATTTCCCCTCTTGGCTCTCCACATTTTATACACAACACATCACCTGGAACCGTTCATACATCACAAAAATCAGAGAAACACAACATCACATTGAATGTTACTCTTTTTGACGTACGTCTGAGTAAGTTTCCTTAACCAGAACCATACACACACACACACACAACAGACACAGCAGACACACCAACACACACACATACACAGAATGAAATGCTCTTTCCTCTAATACTTTTGTTGACTCATACTACAACCACCCCGTCGTCAATTCATTCTACCCAAGAATTATCCAATACTACAACACAACACACCACACACACCACCACCTTTACAGTCAGTCTTGAGATTATAATTAGATAAGTCATCTTCCACCTTTGAAATGATAATGTCATATTATCTGTTTGAACATTTATTCCTGTCAGACACATATGTATCCATCCTTTGGGCCGATTTGTTAAAATTGTTTCGAGCGGCCGAGACACACGCAGCAATGAACACATATTTATTATACGTGTAGACAATACATATATATACTAGGGCGCTGAAATTTTTACATATCTATCAATCTAGACATGGCATATCTAAATGACGGAGATAGATGTATACTATGTTAGAGGGACGATGTCGTCCTATTTCTGCGGGTATAGCATATATATGCATCTGTGCAATTGGGTCAGGCCCTCGGCGTAATTTTTTAACAAACCGCGCCGGATTGATCTTAATACTCATTGTATACTTCACTATAAATATACAACTGTCATTAGTACATCCGACCACTACCAACGACACACATGGACACGCAACACCATACACACGCAGGCACAGCCCACGTGACATGCGTTCTTCGTCACTCGCACAGGGACACAGGGCCCAGGGCTCAGCCTTATGCGGTTCTCGCCTCCTGATCCATTTAGTGACCTCGTTATGATTTTTGCGGGGTTGGCTTCATACTATCTCGGCCACCCCACCACTTCCTGGGAGTTCGATGTGTTCCCATCAGGGATTCGACCCGAGCTCTTCTGATTCAGGGCCAGGCGTGAGAGTTTCGTTAGCGAAGGAGCCTCCTTGTCTTGTCTGTCGGTCTCCATCTTTCTCTTCTCTTCTTTCTCCCTGCCTTGTTATTATTCGTTTGTCTGTCTGGCCTGTACTGTCTTCCCGTCCGTGCGAGTTTGTCGTATTGCCCAAGTCGACTCTCCTGTCTCTGGTTGACTCTCTCTGTCTCATCTTGTCTGTAATATAAGAAAAAATCATTCTTGTTATCTCGACCTCCCCGCACGCCACGACCTCCACCCGGAAATCGACACCGGACACCTCCTGAGTCAGAATCCCCTCCGACGTTGACACTCTGACATCCATCAGAACCTTATTTATAGGCAAAAAGAAGCTGTACCTATGCATCTCTCCTTTCTCCTCTACCGCGGCCCCCTTCGCTCCGCTCATACCCCTCTCCCCCCCTCTCTTCCCTCCTGCACTCTCTCCTTTTACCCTCCGCCTAGATACCTTAAACCACTAATCTGCCTCCAATAACGAAAGAATCCCAAGGTTCTTCCCTTATAATTTGTCGTCGGATAAGGATTCGAATCGTTTGTCAAAGGATTTAATGATTTCCTTATCCCTCACTTTACTGCTGTCGTCTTTTTTGTTTCTTCTATCCTCTTTCTTTTGTTTTCCCTCTTTTTTGTATTTCTTTCCTCTTCCCTTTGCTTCTCTAACCATCCATCTTTTCTTTTTCTTAATTGATATATCTTCCTCTATTAAAAAAAAATTAAATATTATCTATTTACCTAATTATTATCACCGCTAAAAATTATAATTAATGTTCATAAATCACAACTTTTATTATATTGAATGTTGTAATACCATCATAATTATCTAATAATTAAAATTATTGTTATCCTGTTATTGTTTTTATTATTCTTCCAATGTTATTATTATTGTTGTCTATTATATTTTTCTTCATTTTCATTATTTGTTTATTCTTATTATTAATTATTTACTATTGGATATCATTATCAATAATTGCTCAGAGAGAGGAGGGAGAGAGAGAGAGAGAGAGAGAGAGAGAGAGAGAAGAGAGAGAGAGAGAGAGAGGAGAGGAGAGAGAAGAGAGAGGAAAGAGAAAAGAGAGAGGGGGGGACGAGAAGGAGAGGAGGAGGGGAGAGAAGAGAAGAGAGAGAGAGAAGAGAGAGCCGGAGAGAGAGAGGAGAGAGAGAGAGAGAGAGAGAGAGAGAGAGAGAGGAGCGATGAGCCCGAGGGATAGGAAGATCTGAGGGATAGGATTAACGATGCACAGATTCAACAAAAAGACAAAAGAAATAAATAAACGGAGAACAAAGCCCAAACATAATGAAGATAAGAGACAAAAGCACAGAAACCAAGACGAAAACAAGACCGTTCCAAAAGTCATACTAGAATAAGTATCACTTCTGAATCAGTGCCAAGACATAGATCACTGAGACATATAGCAGTAATGAACAAGAGACAAGTCTTTCCATACCTTGTCCCCTTCTTCTTTGTAATCTCTGTGCTTCTATCACTGTCTCCTCTCTATCATCTAGTATCCTCGCAAATGTTTTCTCCAACAAATTCCCGGTCACTAGACCTGGGGCAGCAATGAACTGTGGGGAGAGGGGGGTGGTCGCCTCGGGTCACTATATCCTCTGTTTCGCCCTACTCTCACGTGTCTATTTCTTCTCTTTCTAAACCTCCCCTTTAACATATATTTGTATTATACAGGATATAGTCGTCTCTATTCTCTGCTACTGCCTGCTTCTTCTGTTCTTTTCTATTGTCCATATTAATCTGGATCAGGCACTAGTCGTCAAGGGAAGAAGGGAGAAGCCGGATAATAGAGAAAACGACTATCATCCATCATGCACTGGGAAACATATCCAGTGCTCATACAAGGGGACGCGGGGGATAGGAGAGAAATATCGCAGAAATCCCAAATATACAAAACAATAGTAATAGCTCTGTTCCTTTTCCTCTCTTCCTTATCTTTCTCTTGTGTTCTCTCGGCTAAGTACAAAGCGAGGGATATGTACTATTGATTTAAAATCTTTAGATAGGTATAATAGTCACTCATACTTACTTTAATTACTTATATATCATCTCTATCTCAATCTTCTTTTGGTTTGTATATTCCAGTATATTTAACTCCAAGCAAAGACCGCATGAAATTCCCGAGGACTTTATCCTTTATCCTTTTCTGACTTCGAGAACTAACTCATTCTCTTCCTGAAACATCGCGGACTCCGGTCTTGCTGTCTTTCCTACTTATCCGGCCAGAAGGTTCTCATAGTCTTCCGTGGTGTATTCCGTTTGTCTGCTGTTCCTTCAGTGAAGTTTTGTTCATGGGTGTGCGCATGGCACTAAAGGTCTTGTGATATGTAATAAATTTGATAGACACATCCTAATCATACACACTACCACATACTACACGAATACACATACGACACTCACCACTTATGACACATTCACATACTTCCGCAATAGTCCCACATCACATAACTCCACATCACACATCTGCTACTGTCTGGTCAGCTTGACCCCCACCACACTCACTCCACCTCACTCACTCACCTCACTCACCACCACTCACTCCACTCCACTCACACACACACATCACATCACACAACATACACACCACAACACCACAACACACACGTTTATTATTAAACCTCCGTGCTTTGGTATGAAATCAGAAGGGTGAATAGTGAAGGAGGAGAGAAGAGAGAGTAGAGGGAAGTGATAGAGAGAGAGAAATATATATATAATATATACACAACATACACACACACACAACCATCAACACACTACAACACACATATCACACTAACCATCAATAGTATATATATTATATAGGTATATATAGTATATATATATTATATACTACATGTCAGAACACACACAGCTGTGTCCTGCCTCTGTATGTAATTGCTCTCGTCCACAAGCTATCTTTGCTAACTCTCATACCACTGCACTACAACATTGTATGTTAGTTCTGACTTAACCACTCACATTCACCCAATCATCATACCTTTATTATAAACCTCCTGTTGTATACACAAAAGGGTCTGAAGACCGAGGTATATATGAGAAAGAAGAGAGAGAGGAGGGGAAGTGATATATACATACATACATACATAATAACACACACACAGTATATAATATATATTCCACAATATATATATGTATACACACACATCACAACATATAAATATTATATATATATATATATAATATATATATTTAAATATATAATATATATTATATAATAGTATATTAATATATATATTATTAGTAAGTGTTTATATATAGTATTTATCACACACCACACTATATATAACATAGCACACGACACAGGTTCTGGTTACATTGTTTGGATGTGGAGTGACCTTCGGCCTATTGAAGAAGATCAAATCTGTTAGTGATGGGAGGCTGTCAAACGAATTGTTGAAATCAGTAATTGGCTGAAAGGGTGATTGTGGAGGTGAAATGCTCTCTGATTGTCGAGAGAGCAACTACCAGGATGGTTTCTCAGAGATGTAAGGCTATCCTGGATGAAAAAACAAACACAACACTTGCCGTTTCTGTTTCTCGACCAGACACACACCACAACACACACAATATATAATAGCTATGACAATAACTACTGATATGCAATCCATAGACTCATCACTTAAGTTATTTTGCCAATGTTAGATACTATTAATAATATATAAGAGAGAGAGAGAGGCTGAGAAGAGAGAGAGAAGGAGAGAGAAGAAGAGAGAGGATAATCCAAATTATTTTTACTCTTTTATTTTTCACTATTACCTTGAAGTATTTTTTTTTTTTTTTCTGAGTAGTGTGTGTGTGTGTGAGTATGGGAACCGTGTGCCATTGTGATTCTCCATATGCTTGCCTGGTCTAGGCCGTTAGAATCGTCGCTTTACGTCGCATTTGTTCTGTAGCTTTGTCCTCTTTCTCTTCCACAAGTATCCTCACTTATATACTCATTCTAACACACACGCCGCACACGGTTTACGCATACACATTGAACATACATACACAAACTTACAAACAGATCCTAATATTGATATTTATATATATATATGTGCTACGCGTGTGTGTACACAAACACATGATACCAAACATACAAGTAAAATATATATGTAATGAATATATACACATATATGTGTGTGGTGTCTAATATATAGATATTTGTTTTTCAATTGTAGAGTGTGTGTGGTGTGTGTGACCGAGTATAGATTACTATATATATATATATATAATAATATATATATTTAGTTTTGTATGTATTATAGTTTATATATATTATATTATTCCATTAAATAATGTATGTATATATATATAATAAAGGAATATGCAATATATCATATAATAAACACACACATATATATTTAATAGAGTATAACATTAATTATTAAATAGTAAGTGTGGCGTATATATATGCACTGATATATGATAGATTGATTAGATACAACACAAAAATAATAGACCATCCACACACATATCCTCAAATGAAAAGAATAACGATTCATTTTGTACATATATTATTTCAGGGAAAGATAAATATGGATATAGCCATAACATACATTATCTATACATGATATGATAAATATAGACAACAAGGATAGATTGTCTCAGATTGAATATATAGGTTAAATATTCTAAATCATATATATAAAATGTTCCTCTTTATATTTTGGTATGTAGTGTTATGTAATTTTATAATAATTGAATATATTTTTTATTTTAGGTAATCTATATATATATAATATTATAATATATATAATATAATACTAAATTTATTCATATGTTATTATATTAGTATGTTATGCTTATATATATTATATTTATTATGTTATATACATATATATACATTACATATATATATATAATATTATATTTTATATTAGTATTTAATTAATATATTATATATATAAGAAAATACACAAACACACACAACACACAACATATTTTAATTAAAAAATAACATTATACGATAATGTCCCTCGCTCCCCGTTTGTGGTTTCTCAAATGCACGCAAATTTCCTTCCATTTCAAACCGATCGTCCGCTCT